AGCGACTTACACCCCCAGTGTCCCCCACTGCATCCGACACTCGGGAATCGACTTTTACCCGAGATGACTGATAGCTAGACACTCAAACCCAGAATCCGAATTTCCGATTTCAACACACACACACCAGAACCGGACATACCCGCCCGGTGCATGGTCTGCGATCCGACGTAGTCGGATTGCCTACCTGGCTGGCTGTGTCGTACGATCGACTTGAATCACGTGACTTACGACTAGACACTCTTCCGAGTTCAAAAATTACCGCTTAACCAGTGCTGCCAACACGACAAAACACAATAACCGACGACCCCCCATTCCCGCCGCAGGCTGGATCAAAAAACCCAGCATCGCCGACAAAGATGCACCACCGCCCACACAGTCTTTCCGCCGTAGGCGGGATGACAAACACCGGAATCTAGTATTATAATATAATAATGCAAATTTAAAAAAAAAATTAACACTTTCGTTAAAAATGATAAATGTGACGAAAAAAAAAAACGCAAAAAAAAGAAATTCGATTTAACACGGCCCCGCCGGCGTTCGAAACCACGACCGTCGAATCACCCGTTTTAACGCCTAACCTACCTAGCCACCTACCGAGATGAAATTAGGAGTCAAATCTATGACTCTTAAGGGCGTTTGAGCGGACCACCGTGTCCGCCACCTTCGGACGTTCAAAACGCGAGATTTGCAAAAAAAATCGAACCTCGAGGCGCATGTATACAGAGTGTCCCGTGAGGATTTACTCATTGGGATATCTCCTGAAATAATGGAGATATCGTAATTATGTTTTTTTATTAAGACTCGCAGAGGTAAGCACTACAAATATTTTATTTTTTAATTAAATTAAATTTTTAAGTAAAAAAGTTAAAAAAGTTATTTTTTTATTTTTTTATTTTTGAAAAAACTGAAGATAGCCATTCTATAGAGTATATTTTTGTGAACATTTTGAGCTTTTAACATTTTATTTTCATTAATCTCATGATTTTTAATAATTTTTTTAGTTTATTAGTAAAACGTCAATAAACTGGTTTTTGTCCGGGCGGCGAGTCCCCCTCTACGGCTAATGAGTAAATCCTCACGGGACACCCTGTATATGCCTGTATATAGCGATACCTACACGGTACCTACTCTCGTTTCCGACACACTACTCCACCCCGGGATTCGTCTGTGCCTATAAATATAGCAGGGAACGCGAATAAGTAGTCGACGGGTCCAAAAAGGGGGGGAGGAGGTGCCCCCGTTCCCTAAAGCGGAAAACGGTAGTATTCATAAAAAGAATGGGTTCCCCCTTGGTCCGAGGTCTTTAACTTGAATTCCGGCCGAGTTATACTCAACTCAAAATGTGGGGGGGGGGTGGGGGCTTTGGTTCCCTAATGTTGAAAATTCATCTGGGGCCTAAAAAATTGAGATGCCCATTGGTACGGGGTCTCTAAGTCGAATACCGGCTAAGTTATACTTCGTCAAAAATAATTACTCGTTTAATGGGTCCCCCCACTCCGCCCGACGGTCGCGGGGTAATCGATTTATAAGACGTTATTATCACGTCAAAAAATTGAAAAACACGGGTTTTTTTTTAATAATAATAATAATGTTCGAAAATATTCGTCGATAAGGAAAAGGGAGATAAGCGAGCGGAATTTATAGCGAACGCGCGGGAAGTATTGTGATTGGTCGTCATGGAAGAAACGCGGAGTGCCGTGAGCGCTCCCCGCGGATCTTATACGCGTTATTAGCGTTTTATTATATAAGACTAGATTCCGGTGTTTGTCATCCCGCCTACGGCGGAAAGACTGTGTGGGCGGTGGTGCATCTTTGTCGGCGATGCTGGGTTTTTTGATCCAGCCTGCGGCGGGAATGGGGGGTCGTCGGTTATTGTGTTTTGTCGTGTTGGCAGCACTGGTTAAGCGGTAATTTTTGAACTCGGAAGAGTGTCTAGTCGTAAGTCACGTGATTCAAGTCGATCGTACGACACAGCCAGCTAGGTAGGCAATCCGACTACGTCGGATCGCAGACCATGCACCGGGCGGGTATGTCCGGTTCTGGTGTGTGTGTGTTGAAATCGGAAATTCGGATTCTGGGTTTGAGTGTCTAGCTATCAGTCATCTCGGGTAAAAGTCGATTCCCGAGTGTCGGATGCAGTGGGGTCACTGGGGGTGTAAGTCGCTCGTATGCAAGTAGCTAGTCAGGTAGGCAATCCGACTACGTCGGATCGCAGACCATGCACCGGGCGTGTATGTCCGGTTCTCGTATGTGTGTTGAAATCGGAAATTCGGATTCTGAGTTTGAGTATCTAGCTATCAGTCATCTCGGGTGAAAGTCGATTCCCGAGTGTCAGATGCAGTGGAAGTGTAAGTCGCTCGTATGGAAGTAGCCCGAGGGTCGTGGTTTCGAAACCGCCGCCAGGACAATAGATAATTTGCGGCGCCCGTGATAAATGGAATTTTTTTTTTCGCGTTTTTTTTTGGTCACATTAATCATGTGTTCCGATTTTTTTCAAAATTCGCGTTATTATAATATTATATATATCGGTATTTATATATATTTATTTTGCAAAAAAATAATAATTAACATTTAATTAATACTTGATTTTACCGTGACCAACCTACAATATAATTGTAATGTAGTACCTACTTGATATATTACAGTTTTTAGGTGATTCCGATTGGGTTAAATATTGCTACAGATTATAAATACTGTTTAATACTTTAATACGATATTAATAAACTATATTAAAAAAATAGTACGACTATATGACTGCTCCATTTGACATTTTTTTTCGAAAATTCGAGTTTCAGCCCCTTTCGGTCGTATCACCCTCCCCGTCGACGACTTATTCGAGTTCCCCGCTAAATTTATAGCCGGCGTGCGGCCCTACTTTTCCACAGACGAGTCCCGGGGAGGAGAGGCGTCGCGGAAACGAGAGTAGGTACCGTGTAGGTATCGCTAAATACAGGCATAAATCACGGACTAAGATATACAGGACTGGAAACGAATGAGCTGGCGGAGTGCGGGGTCTGGGCCAAATGTACAACGGTTCCTTTCTGACGCCTGTACAACCGCGACCGCTCTGCCATCTATTGGCAACTATTATAAGCCTATAAATAATCCCTATGTTACTGTATGAAATAATGAAATATATAATAAACTTTAGACTTGTTATACACATCTTGTATCTAATTTTGTTTCTTGAATGTGTATAATATATTTTATACTAAACAACTTAATCTAAAATATATTATACTTTATTTGTATGTATATGTTATTAAATTAAGTACAGAATAGGTACTGAGCAAGTATTGACCATACATAAAAGATTATTTTAGTCTATTCTGTGAATCCTATATAAAATTCATTCTATGTTGTACTTTTTTATTACCAATATTTCAATAGTACATTACATTTATTTATTATTTAAGATAAATTACCAAAATGCCTAGGCGGTGTAGTGTAGATTAATGCCATATTTTGAAAAACAAAATTAAATGTACATTGTTCAAAGCACCAAAAGAAGTTAATATTTTAACAACATGGAACGAAGCTGTCTCTAAAGCTAATGGTAAAAGTTCCATTGCTCATTATGTTTGTCAAAATCATTTTTCAGCTGCAGATTTAATAAGTGTATATAACAACTATCCAGGAGATTTAAATGTATGTTAAATTTTATATTTATGCAATTTATGATCTATTTTACAATCAAGTTACTATTAATTGTAGTCAGTATGTAACTTAGCAATTTGACATTTGTAGTGTTGTAAAGATAATTTTTAAAAGTATTTGAGTAGTTTGAGTAACATTTTAAAATGTTACTCAAACTACTCAAATATTTTTCATACTTAATATATACCTACTATTAAACCAATTATTTAAGTATTAAAAACACTACAAAGTGCAAGTGAATCGATACTACCAAAATAAATTATGAACTACTCATAAATTTAATTTATTGTTGTTATTTTTTTTATGCATACCTACACAAATATCTGCACAGTATTTGAATTTCGAAGTAAGTATAGGTACCTTTAGGTATGAACTTCAAAATAGAATATTAAATAGGTATTCACAACAATTATTGTTATTGCAAATCAAGTATTAACAGGTATGTCATACTATAGTTTTTAGTTATTACGTTAATAAATTAAAACACTAAAATGCAAATATGTAAAAATAATATAATGTATTAATTCTAATATTCTGTGCTACTTGTAAGATGAAAGTTTTATTGAAATTTGCTCTCTATCTCATAAACTACTTGTCAATTAAGGTACCTTATATTGTATATAGGTAATTTAACTATACAAGTACATTTTAGATCTTAATTCTTAACTCAATATTATAATACATTTTTTTTTATATAGTGAAGTGTGGTCCACCGTCGAATGATGTAAAACCGTAGGTGTTGGCATCAAATAAAATAACACACAGTTTGCTTATAAATAAGATTACCGATTTATTGTATTGAACACTAAAGAATTAATGTATATAATGATAAAACTATTACTGATTTAATAAATTAAATATTGAAGAACTGATATATATAATAAAAAAACTATTATTATGAGAGGTTCTGATAAAAATTATATGAGGCTCTGTAATAAACTATAAAGGATGCTCTGCTTAGTAACACGTGTGTTACTCACTCTTTTGACCAGACTCGACTGACTCTAGCTGGCGGGGCTGTCCCCATGGTCTGTCCCGAGCCTTTCGGAATGTGTTCGCTCAGCGTCTCGTAGGCGTCGCGTAGGCGTCCGTGAGAACCAGACAGTTCTCATACACGCACTACTCGCCACTAGACTGAGTCAACCCATTCATACTTATCATGTTACCCGTTTACAACATACCCCCAGCGTTAAACTGGAGCAGTCCCTGCGACCTTATTTACTACTCCATAAATTACTTACACTACGGGTACACCTAGTTACAATACCGCCACATGGTGTCTATAATGCTTAAACTTAATTTATTCTACACTTAGGGCAATACAAATTTTTTTTTTTACAAACTTAAGGGTTAACTTGTTCATTGTTTGGAATATTGTCCGCTACCTCTGGACTATACATTTTTATGACCTGGTTCTTAAACTTAACAACGACTATACTTATGGTTAGAGTTATGAGTAATATGGATATGTACATAACTGTAAAGTGAAATTCGACTTTGAATATAAATAGAGGCTCCAATGACTTACGTTGGAGGTTATTTATTTCGATTGCTTTATGTGCTAAAGAGTTTAGATTTTTTATTGGGTTTAAGTTTGAAACATTTTGGGGTAATACAGATGGTAGAATCTCTGCTAACAGAGAGATTACACTGACCTTTGGATTTTCTGGGATTACGTCTGCTTGTACATTTCTAACATTTTTATTTAACGGTTCGAGTACAGAATTTTCCGTAAAAATTTCACATGACAATGAGGTGGTCAACCTACCCACGCCCGAGATCTCCACGGTATAGCTTTGTAGATGTTCTAAACAGGTAATCGTACACGTGTGTGGTTGTGCATAGTACAACCAAGAATTGGTTTTTGACAATCGATTCCAAATGGGTGTGTCTAATGTTACAAATTTAATTTTACAATTTCCTAATGTATTTTGCGAGTTAGACAACCGTGAAATTTCACACAAGCTAGATCCCGTTCGGCGGTGTATTGGTTGATCACCCTTACAAAGAGTGTATAATTCTAGCCTAATACATAGTTCCCATTGACTTAATTCTAATACAAAAAAATGTTCATTATTATTACTTAAAGCAAGGTAGTCGACTTCAGGGTCAATTAAAATTACTGTATTTTTGTCGTACGGAATGGGCAGAGAAACGGGGCGATAGATGGTATATCCTTCGTTACTTATCAGAGGAATACCTATGGCAAATACTAAATGATCGTCTCTATGGAAAATTGCTATTTCCGAGATTCGAATAAGCTCTGTTAGAGATTCGGTGTTTACTACTAATGGGAGGGAGGTTCCTACTGGAAGATTCATTTTTATTTCCCTTAATTCTGTGAGTAGTTTGCTCGAAGTGAAAACACTGGTGTGAATCTTGCCATCCAGGGCAGAGTTAACTATGGACATTAGATTTTGGGTTTCGTAGGCATATTGATTTAATATAACCTCAAACAGGAACGATTGTTCCAGTAACCTTGTCCTGAATTCTACCTTATTGAGCTTCTGGATGATCTGCTTCGCTTGTTCTTGTAAAAACTGACAGTTTTCCTCGAGTTTCTGCTGGTGTTTAGACAGTTGTTTCATTTGATTTTCTGTTTCTGCCTGAACGATCCTAGTCCTTTCCGGAATTAAGTTTAAATCCTTAATTTTGCTCTCGCTTAATGCCAAGATTTTATCGAAAATAAACTCCGTATCGATCTTTGAATATATACCATATAGAAAATTCGTCATGCGTTGAATTTTGCTGCCTAATCCTCGACGCGTTCTTCCCCCCTCTGAAGAATTGTAGCCAATTGATACCATCATGTTGCGATGATTGGCCTCAATTTCATACATTTAAGGCAACGTTGCACGGGCAAACGTCTGAACGAACTGATCGCAGGTGGGCGATAACTCTAAGAATCGCTCGGTCACCTGCTTACAGATCTCCACGGTATCTGCATACCGTGACTTTATTACCGAAAATCTAGAAGTTGGAGTTGCTAGGTCAATATAAGCTACTAGATCCCAACTGAGGCGAGTCACTTTTACTGGACCATGGTGTTCGAAATATAACCCCTGATGGTTAGGAAACGACGTGATGTTATAAACCTTATTGACTGCCTCTAATTGCCGTTCTGATTTGTTTTCTATTTGCCCAGTGCTAAGCACACTGAATTGAATGAAAGCTCTGCAACGATATTCGTTATTGTTAATATAAAATTTCTCTTCCCCTCAAAGATTTATGTACAGCACCACATTTCTTACATCTAGGTTAGTTTTAGCATTGTTAACTTAATGTTAATTTTTATCACGTATTTACAATGATCAGTCCACAAAAGGACGGATAAGATTTTTATGTACTGTCACCCTCCTTCTATCCTTTTGCAATGTTACATTTTCATTTGCTTTAAGCTCGATCACCTCATAAGGTCCCAACCATTTAGGACTAAGTTTCCCTTTTCGAGCGTTGTCTTTAAGGAGTACATGATCTCCCACGTGAATGATGATCTGATTCTGATTCTGATCGTAAGTCTCTTTTGTCTTCTGTTTGTGTTCCAACAGACGATCGCGGGCTATTTGATGTGCCACTTGGAGTTTCTGCTTCAATTCTACATGGAAATCTTCATAATTGTATCGAGGTTCTGGGGGTTTTGAAAACGAGTTTGGCATTGTCACAGTGCGACCATACAATAGTTCATAGGGTTGTTTCCCTGTGGAACGATGTTCTGAGGAATTGAATACGAACATGGCATATGGAATGAACGTATCCCAATTTGTTTGATCTTTGTCAACGAAATGTCGCAGATATTCCCCTAAAGTTCTATGGCTTCTTTCAAGAGCTCCATTAGCTTGCGGATGGTAAGGGGATGTATTGCATTTTTTTATTTTCAGCAGTTTGCATGTCTCGGCTAAGATCTTGCTTAAAAACTCTGTGCCTTGATCACTAACCAGCATGTTTGGTATTCCATGGAGACATACACAAGAGGTTACGAAATGATACGCCACAGTGTTGGCTTCATGATTTTCCATTGGACTAGCCATGGAGAATTTCGTGAGGTCACACTGCATTGTTAAGATGTAGGCATTATTGCTATGTGTTCTCGGTAAGGGCCCGACCACGTCGATAAATACCTTCTCGAAAGGTTCGGTGGCCGTGGTACTTATGACCATTGGTTGCCTGACGTTCTTGTTACACGTTTTGTTTATCTGGCATGATGGACATTTGGACACATATTCCTTCACATTATCTTCCAATCCTTCCCAGTTAAATTGTGTTTGAATGCGCTTTACGGTTTGGTTTATACCGCGGTGTCCTCCTAGTAGGCTGGAATGATGCTCTGCGATGATCTCTAGTTTTTCCGCGTGTGTTAACTCTGTTAGAGAATAAACATGGATTTTGATATCTATCTCCTTAAATACAAACCGAATCATGGTCCGGATGGCAGACCAATCAAGTTGGTCTATCCCACTGCCAATTCGGGGCATCGCTAGTTTGTCAATATCGAGCTCGATGCATACCGATTTGAGGCTCTGTAAAGTCAGGAACATATCCTCCAAAGATGGTTTTTGCCAATATTTTGGTTTCGTTACCATATACAGGATGTATCGATTTTCTTGACGAATGTACAACACTTCATGGACTCTGGGGTGTTGACTTTTTAAAATCTCCACATTGCCAAATTTCCTGCGAAACATGAGGGCCGTGCCCTGGCTCATTTTCACGTCCTGGGATATGCAATGTGCGAGGCTGTAGTCTGATGGTGCGTCGAATAAATCTCCCGATTCCTCTTTTACCCTATTATTGACTATTGACTTGCCTTTTATTAGTTGCAAGTAGGTATCATAACTAACTCGGGTAACTGGGTTCAATGTTCTGTTCATCATGATTCGCCCCATACGGCTGAGTGCATCTGCATTTGTGTTTGCGGCACCGGGTTTATAGACCACTTCGTACTGATATTCTGACAATTTGATTCTCCACCGCATGAGCCTGGATCCAGGATCCTTAACATTAAATAGCCACGTAAGTGGCTGATGGTCTGTGTAAATCTTAAACTGTCTGCCCAGTAGGTATGGTCTAAAGTGCTTGACTGACCATACAATGCTTAGCAGTTCCTTTTCCGTGGTACTGTAGTTTTGCTCCGCCTTGTTTAGCGTACGTGATGCATATGCAATAGGTAGATCTTGCCCTATTTCCTGGCCTTGAGAAATGACACTCCCAATTGCATACTGACTCGCATCGGTTGTCAAAATAAATGGTTCCTCGAAGTTGGGGTACTGAAGTATTGGAGCTTGAATGAGCTTCTGGATGAGCGTCTCAAATGCTGCCTGGCATTCTGCAGTCCACTCAAAAGGTTGTCCCTTCTTTAATAATGTTGTTAACGGCTTGGCTATCTGGCTGTATTTTTCTATGAACCTTCTATAATACCCAGAGAGTCCGAGAAATTGCTTTATCTCAGTTGGGTTCCTTGGTACCGGATGATCTCGAACACAACTGATTTTCGCCGGATCTGGTTTTACACCAGTGTCCGTTATCAGATGCCCAAGGTAAACTACTTCACGTCTGAGGAATTGACATTTGCTTGGCTGGAGTTGGAGGCTGAATTTCCGAAGTCGCTGAAATACTTCTTCCAATCTGCTCTCATGTTCTGTAAGATCCGCTGAATAGATGATTATGTCGTCTAGGTACACAAACGCTTTGATGCCGTTGAGGCCTGTTAATGCAGCGTTCATCAGACGTTGGAACGTACTAGGTGCTCCGCTTAATCCAAAGGGCATTCGGATGAACTCGAAGTGGCCCTTGTCTGTGGAAAATCCGGTCTTCTCACGATCCTGCGGACGAATCGGGACTTGATGGTACCCGCTGGCGAGGTCCAACGTAGTGTAATATCTGGAGCGTCCTAGCTGATCTAAGATCTCGTCAATTCGAGGAATTGGAAACGCATCTCCGATGGTTAGCTGGTTGAGCCGACGAAAGTCTACGCAAACTCTGAATTGTGGATTTCCACTAGCATCGGGTTTCTTTGGGACTACCACTAAAGGTGCGTTCCATGGAGATTCTGAAGGCTGGATGATTCCGTCTTCTTCCAATTTTTCCATCTGCTCTACTATAACTTTTCTATGGGCGTATGGAAGTCTATACGGTCTGATATTCACTGGAGCTGCTCCCGCTTGCGTCTTGATGTCATGTTGGATTGCTGTAGTGAATGGGAGAGCATCTCCTTCGAGGTGGAATAAGTCCTGATATTTCTTGCATACTCCCCATAGACTGGCCCGCTCCTCATGGTTAAGATGATCTGTTTGGATAACCTGTGCGAGCTTCTTCATCCGATTTTCCTTATTTGACTGCTCCGCTGATTCAGAACAGAGGTGTACTCTTGCCCCTTCAAAGAGGTCGTATTGCACTTTTGCTAGCTGAGGTGGGAGGAATTCGATGGAATTCCCTGAGGGATTCACCACGGGAACCAATATCTGACCATCGCGAACGGAGTTAACGACATTCCCTAATAGTAATACTCTCTCCTCCCCGATGGTTTGTGCATGAAATATTAGAGTTATGTCATCTGCCTTGTCTGTCATGATGGGCACCAGCGTTTCCGATCGTGGTTGGATGACTAGGGTTTTTGGCAAATCTGGAGATTCTGGAGACTCTGGATTTTCTGTATGTTCTGTTGACAGAGTAGAGGTTCTGAAGTTGATATTAATACCATTTTCTCTGAAGAACGGTGCGCCCAAGATTCCTGCTTCCACTATCGGAAAATTGTCATGGACCACCTGAAACTTCACAGTTGCTTCCTTCGTACCAAGTTGGACCCTTAAAGCGACTGATCCTATGGTGTACACTGGTTGAGAATTAATACCCTTTAGCTCATATATTATGCTCTCATCCACCAATAAATCCTTCCTTAGTTCTGATAGTTTGATAATATTTACATCACTCCCGGTATCGACTATTAATCTTACATTTTCTTGAATACACTGTTTAATTTTGAGACACGTGGAATTATTTACAAGTCTTGCTGAGAAGTGGAAGGTCGCTGCAGACTCAATACAGCGCTCTGGATTTGCTGAACCGATCGTGCGCTGCTCGGATTCGGTTCCCCTCCGTTTCCCGCATTTTGTTGTTCTGTTGAAGCTTCTTTTCCACCCTGTTGCCTTTTACTATTTACATATTGTCTTTTTCGGCATACTTCTAATTCATGTCCTTCCTTTTTACAATATCTGCAAACTAATACTGCTTTTGTGGGAGTTTTCGAGTTATTTTGCTGCCCATTCTGCTGACTGGATTTGAATCTCTCCTGATCCCATGACGACGCTCTGCATTCCCTGGCAAAATGGTTAGTTCGCCCACACTTAAAACATCCCTTACTAATGTTGCTGCTTTTGCCACTGTCCTTCTGCTTGAACACGGTATGATTTGCTTTTGAGGGCTGAGACTGTTGATCCTTCGAGTTTTTTTTATTACTGAATAGTTGCTGAGTTCCGTTTCCTCCTCTAGTGCATATGCCAAAGCTTCCCTGAGGTTCTTGGGACCTCTAGCTTTAAGGAGAATTCGATACGATTCTGGCATCCCACTTATAAACGCGTTGAGTATCTGATTGCGCAATAGCTTATCAATATCCTCCCCATTTATGTAGTCTCCACTTTCCATGGCTGCATCGATTAAATCGTGCATGAGTTGCTCCATCTTATCATGATAATCTTGTACCCCTTCACCTGAACTCATTTTGCATGTGAGCATCTTCATCTGTAATTGTGGTAGCAATTTCTTCTTGTCTGACATTTCGACGATCGCTTTCCGGAAATCCCGATAAGTCTCGATT